TGTGCATTCAGCTCCTCAGTTGCAGCCAAGCAAATGGAATAGCACAGGTGGATCCCAGTTGTGAGGTAGTCATACAAAGAGCTATTTTTGCAAGTGTCAGAAGACTGCGATGTGGGAGGTGCTGGGACAGACTTGGTGAGATCTGAGCATTACCCAGGGAAAGCAGCAAACCCCTCAGCCCTAGATGAAGCAAGGGCTACCAACAAGATGTCCCTCAGATGGCTTTGTCCCAGCAGCACAGGGAAGCAATTGCACTTACCTTATTCTTTGCCAGCTCGTATTTTCAGCATTAATCCAGGAGAGACTGAAGGGAAACCCTATCTAGACTGAAGAATAGATAGAAAAAGTAAACAAACAAACAAACAAACAAAACAAAAAACAAAAACATTTTGCAGAACCCAAGCCTGGGCATCATGGTTTGGTGCATAAAAAAATAATCACATATTTCAATAGAAACACTTAAAACAGAAGTCATTATCATAGTAACTGAGAAACCATCTGAAAAAACAGCTACAGAAAAATGTTGAACATTTTTGCTGTTGAAGCAGAAACAAATGAAAGGATAAGGACAATGAGCTGTAAATAAAAGCAGAGAAGATGATCCTTGGGAATGATTAGTAAAGAATATAAGGAAGCTTTTCCCAAGTGATTTAACTTGGTTCTCTACTTTCATCTACTGTCTGAATAAGTGAATTATCATTTCCTGTCTACCCTCCCCATGCTGCTCATGCTTAATGCAAGCATTCTCACAGGGAGTCCCTAGGAGCGAGCTGTGTGCTATGAGAGCGATTTGCAGGGGAAGTCTTTTAATGAGACTTTTCCATGAGGAAGAGGGAAAACAGAAAGCTTGGTATGCGTACCAGCTATAACTCCAAAGGATTCTACTCTTCTACTCTACATTTCAGAAGGCAGCAGCTTTCCAGGTGTGATCTCTGTGAAGAACTGTTATATACATAGACATGGTAGAGGAAGGGAATCAGAGCAGATTAATAATTTACTCCCACCTCAGAGCTGTTTAGTTTCCACAGAAGTGACACTATATCAGCAAAAGCATTCAAAATAAGAACACTGCAATCTTGCAGGTGTTGCCACATACAAAGGAGCTGCCTCTCCCAGCAGCAAAGTGCCTCACTGCTCTATCTGTAAGGTATATACATCTGTAATGTGTATCTTTCACACCCACACAGAGGCTGTGAGATTCCTCACCTCTGCCTTCCCCTCTGTGTGGCTGCATGGGCCCCTCAGCAGCAATGGCAGGAGGCTCTACAGGTGCTTCTGCTCACAGCTCAGCATCTTGCCAGCAGTCAGGCAAATAGGCCAGGCCAGAAATGTGGGTGACTGCAGTGCTGGTATTCATTCATTCACTGTAGGACAGGCAAGGAGAGGTGGGCACGCTTGCAGCAAAATTAAGAGTGGCATATAAAAGGTAAAGAAGAAATGGTTATTTGCTGCCTCCTGTGATACAATAGATTGGATTTTCAGCAAAGTTATCAGGCGACAAGGCTCAAAGCAAATAGAAGGAACTTCATGATGTGCAGCTGAGCCGTGGGACTCATTGCCAAATGTTTTTGCGGGCACTGGAAGCCTCTTTGAACTGAAATGCGTTTGTGTTAAAGGAAGAAGAATCCAAGAATGCCACCTTTTATTCTAAAAACCTCTGAGCCACAGTTTGTACAAGACTCAGGCAGCTCTGCATCTCTTTGCCCTGCTCATATTCCTCCCATACACACACATACACTTGCCCCTGGAAACCAAATTGCGGGCTGGCTGGAGCTTGCTTCTCCGAGTGGCTATTTTGGATCCAGATGGCGTTCATTCAGGAGACTCAGAGAACCACTGACAGGTACTGAGGCCTTCTGAGGCAAAGGATCACTGCCTATGTTTCCAAGCACTGAAGCCCTTCTCTGACTGCTCGCTTGTGGATATTTCTGCCCTGTTATTCCTTCCCCTACGTGCTGCTACCGTTCCCCTGTTGTGGCCAAGATGCACTGTGCTCACAGGTGCGGCTTGGAGCCAGGGAGTGGGCAGGGAGCTCCTGGCTGCCAGAGCTGGCACTTTGCCTCCGGTTACTCATCTTCCCCACAGCTCAGCTTCAGGTGATGCAGCCTGAGCTGGTGCCTATGCTGATCCCACACAAGCCAGCATGAACAGGGCCAGCTGCAGGCTTTGCAGTCACCTGCTTGCTGAGGCCACAAAAGGACTGCATCTACCGAGGCTGAAAGGGGAAAGGAGAGTGGGCAGCTGCTCCTGAGAGACCAAGGGAGGGCCACAAAGATTCACACACAGGGACTTCTGGTACCAATGCCGCACTGATGCATGGCCCCAGCCACCCCTCATGTGGCAGCTTTGCAGGCACAGTGCTGAGGCAGCTCTGTCAGAGGTAGCCTAGGCTTGAGGAACAAAACCATGGGTCTCTGCTCCCTGCAGCTGCCATCTTATTGCTTTCAGAAAGCAGAGACTTGCAACCAGCAGCACCCAGCTCAGCTGAAGCTCCAGGTTGTTTCACGTGCAACAGCACAGGCAGTATTTCTCTGACTTAAAGTACATTTCCATGCGATACGACATCAAAAGTATGACACGCTGCCACTATTCATGGCCAGTCAATAAGGTCCTGAGCTGTTGCTGCTGCATGGGAGCAGCACCTGGGAAGGGACAGGTGCAGTACTGCCTGGCTTCAGCAGCAGCAGCTTGCCAAAAGGCCCCAGCAGAAGTTACAGGAGCCCAAGCAGCTCCTGTTTTGCCATATCTCTTTCATAGGATGCAGGACAGCATGTATAAGTGATCTCCTACAGCCATAAGAAGAGCCTTAGAAGTTGCATTTCTAGGATGATCACAGCCCTTATGTTGAAGCCAAATACTACACTTAAAAGCAGAGCAGCTTTGTCAGTGTTTTCAGAGAATGAAGCAAGTCTTGCACAAGCTGAGACAAAGAGCAAAAAATCTCCACTAATTCAACAGCAGCCAGGCTTAATCCATTTTGAAATACGGTGTGCAGGCAGTAATTGTAGCCGTCCCAGTAACTTTACATTGCAGAACTATTCCTAGAATCAGACCTGGAAGTTGCCTCTGTTCAGACAGGGGTAACACGTGCTACAGCAGGGTCATTATGCGATTCCACACAGTGCAGAGCAGGAGGACACCAGGGCCATGCCATCACAATCATGTCATTAAACCCTTCTGGAGACAGGCCTCATTTTTGCAGATGTAACAAAGCCTAGCACAGATGGGATTAGAAAACCTCATCCCCAGCCTACATCTCAGATACACTCCATGTGCCCGGTGTGCTGCTTGAAACCAATGGCTGAGTCAGCCCAGGGAATGGTGCTCTGTTGGTGCCAGCTACCCACTGCCTCCCCAGGGAAAGTCCCAGCAACATCCTAGCCTCCAATTCTTCTGCTGTGAGTCAATGCATCAAGAGCTGCCCTGCTTCTGCTCTGGAAACAAAAGGGCTTCATTAGCCAGCTGCTTTATCAACCTGCTCCCTTTTACCGGTATTAAATCCTTGCAATTTCCTACAGTTGAAGAGTAAATTAGCTCATTAGACAACCTGCATTACACAGCACACAAAGAACTGCACAGAGCACAGCCGTGATGCACAAACCAAGTGCAAAAAGCTACATGCTGATTTCCAGTTGCATTTTTGCAGATGATCACAAAAAGGCTAGAAAAAGGCCTATGTTTACTTTACATCCATGAGCATTCCTCCATCAGTTCCACACACCTGTGGTGATCTCCCCACAGGGAATAGTCACATCTCATTTGCCAGTTGCATAAATGCCTCCTTCCTTTTGAATAAACCTTTGAAAGTGGGCCAGAGATTTCATTTGGGGCTGGTTTTGGCTAAGCAAGCTGTCATCTCACCGCCAGCAGGGCGCTTCCTCCTGCACTTCTCCCAACTCCCACATCTGTACAGAAGCAAAGGCCTTGAAGTTCAGGGAGTTTTAGTCAGCTGTTTGTGTTAAAGGGATGATTTTACTTTTAATCTCCCGTTTGTTTTACAGTTTATAGAGTACGAGACCTTCTGTTTAAATTGTTTATTGAAGAAAAGAAGCCTGGGGGAACTCAAATAGGGAACCACAGTCAAAGCCACTGCTTTCAGTTAGCTTGAACGGCTTATGGAAATTGCTCCTCAGCCTTCTTAACCACTGCTATCCTACTTTTGACAGTGGGATTTCCACGTCTCAGACTTTTGAAGGCCCATTTGAAAAACAAGATTAAATATACTACAGGCAGCGTGCAGCAGAGTGCGGGGCAATAAAGATTATCTTAACATAATGCTACCCAGAGAAATAGCCAGTTCCTCAGCAACTACACATTAGTCTGTAACATTTCTGTTTTAGAGGGGGAGGAGGCTAGAACTGTAACAGAAGCATAAAGAATCATCTCAATAAGGTAGAGGTTCAGCAATGGTTGTGCACTGGGCCCCTCTTCTGCTCTGCAGTCAGACGGTTGCATACCCAGTTGCAACAGCACTGCTGGCTCCATGCTGTACCACCAACGTGGGGTGAGTATGCTGCGTGCAGTTACTTGCACTCCAATTCTCAATCTGTTTTCACAATTTGCCTCTGTATTACTCATCCTGCTTTAGTAGCTTCTGTTATTTCCTTTTCTGATTTTTCTGAATCCCGCATTCAACAAGATCATGACCAGAGAAGATGTGTCGATCCAATCTGTGGACAATGAAATCAAGAGCTCCTGAAGTTTTCCGAGAGTCCAGCCACTTGCTTGGCATTTTTGCTTGCATTTTGTTAATTTCAAGTCACTCAGAGTAAGAGATCATTTACCTGCCTTTTGAACAATGACCTTGCCTTTGTTAATGTAGGGTTAAATATAAAGCTGAAAGGTGAGATCTGAAGGGAGCCTTTCCAAACCGTGACGAACATTTAAACTCTTCAGTTGTTTTTTTTCAGTCTTAACCTACACGTGCAGAACACAATAGAAGTCATCTCTAGACACCCTCCCCATTTCTTGGAAGCAAAGCAACAGATAATCCCAAAATCTCTATTTTTGAAAAGAGTTTACTCACATAGTTTGAATAAATTAATTTGCAAATAAAAATTAAACTACAGTATAACATAGTTTGAATAAGATGATTAGAACAACTACAATACAGGGGGTTTCTTGCTGCATAAGTTTCATTACTTAATGCATATAATCTGGAGAATGTCAAAATCAGTTATATTTCTATGAAAAGGGAGTAACAGCAGTTACATGTACATGACAACTAACTGAACTTATAATACAAGTTTCCTGACACATGCATTTCCTGAGTGAACCAAACAATATATATAATTTCTTTTTTTAAAAAATGAAGAAACAATTGACAGTCGAAAGCAAATATTTCATGACATCTAAGCAACATACACCTCTTTTTAAACCAAAAAGTTTAGAACAGCTTTGAAAGGGAAAATTAAAGCAAGGTATAAAGTATGGAGATTTGCTACCGTCAATTATACAGTACATATGAAAAAAAACAACAAAAGGTTGGCCTAAAAAAAAAAGTCAGTTTGTGTATTTGCCATTAAACATGGTGGGTTAGCAGCAAAGCTGGATGTAGTGCACTGGCCTTTCCTGGCGAATACAGAATGGAAATGAGGGTTAGGGTAAGGAGAGCACAGAGACCACGACCTAGAGCCCACCACAGTGTGAACAGATCTTATGCAGATCCACAGCAAAGCCTATGAGGCCAGTCCCAGTGCAAGCTCTTCCCTAACAGATTGCCAACTGGGTCAAATGCACGAAGACGCCAGGATGCAGCACACATCCAGCAGGTACCAGGCTTCTCTTTTGTTCCACGTGTGGCCTAGATGAGTACCTGCACCCAGCTCCTCAGAGCAGCATATAGGCAAGCACACGATACCGGTGGCTCCCACATGCACAGCTGCAAGGAGCCAGACAAAAGGCAGAATGTGTGACTGACAGACCCTTTCTCGAGCAAAGACTGTGGCCCACTCACAAACTGCTCCCCACATCACACGTGGCATGGGCACATGCACTTTTCACCTCCCCAAACAGCAAGAAACAAAATGAGCCTGATCTTTCAGGTTTGTTAAAGTTCAACATTGGAAAAACCCCTCAGAAATGTCACTAATGCTAAATAAAGACATGTTAGCATGAAGGGAGGAAAAATCCTTAATCTAGACTAAGTTGCATATTCAAAGAGTCTGGTAAATATCTTTCTCATAACCAGATCTTAAGTACAGTCCTACCAAAAAGACGCTTTAAGAAGTCCTTCTTAGCTACCTTTCACGTGGTTAAAGCACATCTTGACGCCATCATAAATTGCATTAGCTTTGTTCGAAAAGTATTTTAACTATTCTAAGAACTCAGTACTGCAGATTAAAAAAGATTTTTCTACCATTTCCATCTCACCTCCTTCTCCATCCAGAACTATTCTACACATCCAATTGCTGGATGTAACTCACTATGACCACGCTACTCTACACATTCTATGCATTTTCAATAATAAAGATAAATAGAAAAGAGTTAATATACACGTTATATTTTACAATGTTTGCATCCAAGCTGTAAACTACTGCTCTTTGAACTATTTACCCTCCATATACAAAAAGAATGGAAACAAATTTCAAATACTGTGGGGGCATTTGATTCAAAACCATTAAACGAAAGGCATTTCAATTCACTCCGCAATACTTCCTTCACCTCCTCAGGAAGCAGTTAACTAAACAAGCAGGACTTCTCTCTTACCCCTGTTTCTTCCATTTGCAGACCTTTCTCAATAGAGAGGGATTTAGCTGTCATAACAGAAAAAAAAACCAAAATTCTTCATCTTAATGCAAACCAGCAAAGCCCAGAGAATACGAAAAACGGTTGATTTAAAAATCAGAATCGCTTAGCTTATCAGTTTACTGCAGTCCTCGGATATACGTGTGTTAGTCAAGAGGTCCTTGGAAAATGAGTCTGATGTAACCTTGCTCACCAGCCAGCTGATGCGCACAGAAGGGACAGGCTGCATGAAAAGTGTGAGTACCATGAGGAAGAGGGATTTGGGACCAATAAGCAGTTGTCTTTTCTGAGCACACGTGGCCGCACGGGCTGAACGCGTGAGTTGGAGGTCCCGCATCCACATAAAATCCCGCTTCACATCCGAGCCACAGAGGCACGTAAGGGCCCACAGAGCGGCACATGGGACACTCCCGATCCTTGCCGTCTCTCTCCTCCTTGTTTCCCCAGTTGTGATAGCCGTGCACGTGGCCGCAGTTCAGGTACACCCACGGCTGCTTCTCATCTACAACATCTTTTCTCTTCATGCTGGGAAATGCCAAGGTGTTAAAGCCCACCGGACACTGGGGCCTCGCCGCATTGATCTCCTGCCTCAGCGCCTCCAGGTGCTTGACGGTGGGAGTGCGCGAAAGCCCTTCTGCAGTGCGCCACAGCAACGTTGCTCCACACAGGTCGATCAGAGAGCCATCCTGCAGCTGGTTTGTCTCATTTTCAACCTTGTGATGGACAGAGGAAGAGAAAGGTGCCACCTAGCATTATCTGAAGAGTAACAAGGCACTTTCATTACACTGGTTTACCTGGAAGATCCAGATAAAGTTTCAAGCAACTAATAAGAGCCCTATGCAAGACTTCCACAGAACCCAGTGCCACTTCCTCCTCTTTCTAAGGAAAACTTCTTAAGAGATTAAGGTGTACGTTAAAAAATTACGTGGAGTCCTCCATTGTATTTTAGACTGCTTCATTCACACATGGTGAAGTGGCTTGTGCTATCAAGGGGAATGGAAGGCCAGTTGGACTAGGTGATCTCGTAGGTCCTTTCCAACACTGTGATTCTGTACCTTTACACAAGGCTTTGCTCTCCCCAAGAAAAATAAGCTGCCAGCATTCCTAGTTAAATGCACCAGTAAAGTATTCATGCACATTTATTTTTGCTAAGAGACTCAAGTCATACCAAAATTAATCACCTCCTAAAAGTGTCACCACCAGTGCTTTGGAAGCAAAGAGGAAGGTAAAAAATGCAAACAAAGAAATGAATATCCAGGTACAGAGAACATGTGTCAATAAATATTCTTTTCTATTCTTTAAGAAGGGAAACATACGAAACTTCAAAGCGTGAACACAAAAGGAAGAATCAGGAAAATGCTCTTTAAAACACGAACACGATTATCACATCTTGCAGAAGGGCACACTAGAGTGCCAACTCATCTGGGGAGAGTAGTCTCGATCTGTAGTTTAGTACTATTTCTGAGACAGATTTAGTTTTCCAGGTCAAGCAAGAACCTTTCATGTGTGAACAGAGGAAGATATAAGTCAATGCAGCTTATTGCACAGGTGACAAATGCACTGAATTAGGCAGATTCTGGCTTCTATTTAGGCCCAAACTGTATCACTTGTGTCTGTGCCCATCTTAAACATGCTACATTAAACGCTGGTCTCCGCTCTTACCATTTTCCCCCTCTGCTGAGCTGATCTGGTTTCACGGAGGCTGAACACATTCCCACACACAGATATCTCTCTCCATACTCCTGGCTTGGAGTCTTCTGTAAATCCATTACGTGGATGCATAACAAGAACTCCATTTGTGGTTAGTCCATCCATTTGCCCATCTGAAGTCTTCCACTTCGCAGCCTTCTCCTAAGAGAAACAACCTCAATGAGAACTTCTAATTTGGCTGAAGTAGAGGCTCAAATTAGATCAAAAATAAGCCTGCACTGATTTGGGAGAACAAAAAGAATTCCCTTACCCCAAGAAAGATGTTCTTCGAGGAGTCAAATCCTGCAGCATATATTCTTGCTGTAAAAGGAGGGTTACGTTCACATATGATTCTGCAGGCAAATCTTGATATAGTGCTTTGCACAGACTGCGTATCTGAATTACTCTGACTTCCAGGAACCGTATCTGTCACAACAAAGTCTATAGGGCTCTCTGTTGATCTACCAATCTGCAAAAAGGGATAAAAAAAAAAAAAAAAAAAGCTGTTTAGATGTTTGCCTTTAGACCTACTAATGTTCAAGCCCAAAACAATCTAGAAATGATTTTAAAAAATCATAGCATTCCAATTTGAAGCACTTAGGTCCATCAATTTGAGATTAGTTTTCTGAAGCCTAATCTGAATTATTTTCTCTATCTTCATGTGATCAAAGTTATTCCAAAGGTTGAGTACAGCCAAATGAAGGAAGGAGGAAAAAAAAAGATGTAATTAAGCTAATACTGAGATAATTTCCCATTGAAAGTCTCCTCAGAGAAGTTAAAACTCAGGTCACCTGGATCAGCTGCAGCAGCAGCTGAACAGCTGGGACAAAGCAGTCAAATGGAAAAGTGGTATTCAGACACTTTGCATGCCCAGAGTATTCTGAGCAATGCCATACTAGGTGGAGGTACAGGTGTAAGAAAAATGTCTGGAGATTACATGAGCTGAAACTGCAGCTCCAGTGAGGTACTAAGCAGCAGCACATCTGTCAGGAAAGACCAAGTACAAGATGGTTGTGGCTGGAGCAGCGTGATGCTACATTAATATTAACACAACAGGGATACAACATCTGACCGCAGCCTGATTTCTAAGACAAGCCTGATTCTAAGACAATGGTCTTAGAAACAGCAGGCTGCAGAGTAGTTGTGCCCTCTTTTCTAGTTGTATGGAAGAAAAATACATTTGCAGTCTCACACACTTTACCAATTTTGATACAGTTGCATGTTTTTGACTGCTTTTTCGTCCTTTCCTCTTTACAAAACAGAGGAGTTATATCCCAACCCCAAACATCCCCATAGCCAGGTTTTAAGCCCACTTGTACATTATTACCTTTCACTCACTTTCAGAGCTCTCAAGCCTCTTAAAACATAGCTGGTTATATTAAGACTGATTAACTGCTAGGCAGCAGACAAAGAGCCTGAGGTAGTTTTTGGTGAAGGCTAGAGAGCTTTCATGAGACTGAAACTGCTCTGTCAGAATATGTTTTTCTTTTTTTTCTTTCCCTTAGACAGGATAACCCAACAGCACACAAAGATCACCACTGGCAATTTAAGAGCAGAATACATGCCATAGCATGCCTGAACAGAGAACATTTAAACTACAGCTTATGCTGCAGTTAGTTTGTTACAGCCCTTTTGCTGTTGGAGATACTTGCAGTTGCACACAGCTTCCTCACCACATACCAACACCTCCTACCTTCTTAGATTCTGCAATGTCGTCACAGTTAAATGCTGTGACAGCAGAACCCCTTGCCTTACATTAAGTACAACGAAAATCAATGCGCTATCAGTCCAGGAATTAGAAGAAACAAAACAAAATCTGAAACAAAACCCTTTTGAGAAAAACAGGAAATAATAAGATATGAGTGAACACAGCTGCAAACGTGTTTGTGGTTCAATGTCATACACACAGGAAACTCCTACAAAGTTATTCTAAACTAATAGTACACTAGAAGTGGGCCTTTCTCAACATTTCCCACCATTTATGCTTTTTTCTGGGGTTGTGTTAGAAGTTTCTCCTGTATTTTTACACTGCATTTCTTCTACCCTCTTACTGGCTGATCCCAAATCCATTCATGAATGCTGGAAGCAAAGTTCCAAGTGCTTCAGAGAACTGTGCACTTTACTCTTAAGCTGTGTCTCATCCCTCCTCACAAAATTATGTGACTGAGTGGCAGTCAACAGCAAAACCATAATTCTGTGCATTAGTTGCAAAAACAGATTTGGCCTCTGACCAAGTAAACCTAAAAGAGATGCACAGATGCACAGCCTTGTATATGTGATGGCCTTGGGAATGAACAGAATTAAACATCTCTGAAGAATAAAGCGCCAAAAGTAACAGTTTCACATCTGAGAGGAAAAGCATATTGAGATAATGTCTCACTGGAACCAACACAGGTGAGAATACGTGCTGGTATCACTTAATTCACGTACCTGGAACATATCTGTGTTGCTGTCATGGGTATATTCAACTACTACTGTCTGGGCCCGAGACAAAGTGTAAGATATGCTGTGTTGGTCCTTATTGCTTATTGCCTGTGGAAAGAAAAGACAAGTTACTGCGCTAGTGAACAATAAATCTACTACATACAGCAGCAACATAGCCAGGCTCTTTTCTGCTCAATGAACACATTAAGTGCGATGCTCATTAGTGACACACCTGTAGTTAGACTTGACAAAAACCAGTCCTCACCATTAAAAAAAGCTGTAGGATTGATTCAGCAACAGACCAAACTGGTCTCTTTACCACACGCTGCCACAAAATAAATGTAATCAGGACAGATTATTAGTCATGCTTAATATTAAAGCACAGCTGGCTTTAGCACAAAGAACAGAACTGAGTGCAAAGGCTGAAACTGGATTCAGCCGGAACTTCTCAACAGCAAAGTGATAAAAACTTACAGAATTCATTATAAAAAAATATATATATATATATATATATATATATCTGAGTTCATATTAAAATCACTGATGATTAATAAGCCACATGGACAAAGAAGTTACAAGCAGTGCTATCAATTCTTACCCAGTTTACACATGCTGTAGCAAAGTAACCTAGGCTTCAGTGAGTTTAGATTTTCATTCTAGAGATTTATGCAGTGCTTCATAAGCAAAACTAAAACTATCTGAACAAACAAACTTCTGTGAAGTGCTTCCAGATAGCACTTATTACTTGAAGACCGTAAACAATCAGCATAGTATTAAACTAGGAATCAATATTTCTAAGCACTGAATTATTTTCAGAATCAAATATTTAACTGTACTGAATTTGTCCAAGGGCCTGATTTTGAACATACTGAATATCTCTAAATAACTTAGAATGTTTATGCATTCTTGAATTCCACTGGTATTAGTGGAAGCAATCTGCTTCTTACTGAACATAATTGCAATACACTTGAAATACCACAATAAAGTAGTATTTCATGGTAAATACCTTACCTATAATAGCCTGAGTTTTGACATGAAGTACAACTCAACTTCAGGACTTAGGCTATTTCTTCACTGCTTCTTAAAGGGAACTCTGAACTTGGTTACCAGCCACAAAAAATGTGCCCTGCCAAACCACCTCATCTCAGGGAACTCCTACCCACTGGACTGAGTAGGAAGTACAGACAGAGCTTTGATCAAGGATCATTTCAAAATCAGCTTCATACAAAGCAAGCTTAGCCCTAAAGCATGAATGAGTGCAAACACAGGAAATTTGAAACAAATGTCTGTAGCAAATTTGGAGGGAAAACAAAATAAAAGGTTTTACATGACAGGACTGGGCCTTGAGTGTTCGTGTTTCAAAAACAAGCATTTTTCATTCTGGGTATGTCAAAGACTGTGAATGGCTTCTTGCTAAACCTGACAGGTACCAAAAATCCTTGAATAAACATGAATCATTCTTTTCACAGTCAGAACTTCATGCTTTTTTTATTTCATCTCAGCATGGATTTCACTTGGAATTCTTTAGACAGCACCAGCAGAAACAAGACTTAATCACACAAATCCTAGAATCTTTTCAAGTGGAAAGGACCCTTAGAGGCCATCTAGTCCAACACCTCTGCAATGAACAGGGACTCTTATAGCTCAGATGCTCAGAGACCTGTCCAGCCTGACCTCAAAGGTCTCCAGGGACAGGACACCACCACCTCCCTGGGCAACCCATGTCAGTGCCTCACTATCCTTACTGTAAAAAACTTCCTTACATCTAATCTGTATCTTCCCTCTTTTAGTTTGAAATCATTTCCCCTTGTCCTGCTTAAGAGTCTGTTGCCTGTTGACCAATACAAAAGTGTTGTTGGATATCTCAGCTTTCTTCTTGTCCACTGTTAATAGCCTGCCTCTGTTGCCCATCAGAGAGGGTATACCCTCCTGAACTTCCCTTTTCCAGATTATATACCTACAGAAGCCTTTCTTATCCTTTGTTGCACCCCTTGCCAAGTCCAGTTCCAGTTGCACTTTGGTGTTCCTGACACCAACCCTATACATACAACCTAGCAGTATCCCTATACTCCTCCTAGGTTACCTGTCCTGCCTCCACTGCTAGTGCGTTTTCTTCTTGCTCTCCAGTTTGATCACATCACAGTTCAGTTATGTCAGCCTATTGCCTTCCTTTTCTGCCTTCCTACACCCAGTGATAGAAAGCTCTTATGCATACAGGAAAGCTTCCTTTAAGATCTGACTGGTCTGTTTCACTCTCTTACCCTTAAGAACTGATTCCCAGGGAGTTTTGTTAACTAAATCCTTGAAGAAATAGAATTTGGCTTTCCTAAAATTAAGCATCCTGATTTTACTCTTTGCCTGCCTGATATCCCTCGAGAATAAATTTCACCACTGCATGGTCACTACAGTCCAGGCAGCCCCCTGTCCTGATGTCACCAATCAGCTCACTTGCATTGGTGAGCAACTGGTCCAGCACTGCATCCCCCTGGTGGGGCTATTACTTGGCTAATCAAGCTTACCTTTGCTGCTTGAGGGGTACAGGCAATATGCACAGTGCTAGGTTTCACCCCGTTTGCTTTGGGCCTTTTAAATAAAGCAAATCTACTTTTTCTTCTTCCTCTATCTCCATTTGGGAGTGACCCATTGTACCTATAAAAGAAAGGACAGAAAAATAATGAAGTCCATATTTCCGTACAACTTCAAGAGGTGCAGACCTACATAAAATTTCATTCTAAACACAAAGTCTTCTTAACTAGTACAATATTAAAAAGGTACAGATCTCCAATTAGTTACATGTATTTAAATCTGATAATAGGCAACTGAAGTACTGAAACATGCCTACAGAACTACAGCACATGCACCCAAAGACTACAGAGCAAGGAATACTCTCTAGGATTCATCTCAGAGCTACTATCAACAAGTAGAAAGGATTCATTTCAATGCTTGCTAGATAAAATATGAAAGGAGTTCAAGACACAGTATGAAAGTGAGAGGTAGCATGATAACATCACCTCTCTCAGCAACCTGCAGATAACTGCTTTAAGCATGCTCTGAAATTCTACCTTCATTCTCACTTCCAGCAAACATAAACACTTACCCCAAAACGATCAATTCACCATACTTCACCGGTGCTTTTGATGGATGATTTTCTTGATCAGGAGAAAACATGAGCTTAGCTAGTGACTTCTTCTCAAACTTCAGGTCACTGATCAAGAGTTGTGGCACACTTTTTTCATTATTTCCTGTAAAAATAAAGAAAATGAAGTGTAAGAGACTCAAATCCATCAATTACACCAACCCTGCACACTTATTTTTGGTCCTCCTGATACAGTAGGTACATTATTTTGCACCTGGTGTTTTCCCATGTTTTGGCTTTGCTTGAAATAACTTCAAAAAGATCACACGCAGATACATCAATTCAGGCTGTGCTGCCTGCAACAATTACATGAGCAGATGAGTGTTTTTAGAAAATTCCCATTCAGCCTTGATAAAACATTGTTTCCATTTACGCTTTATTCTAGTAAAATTTTAGTATAAATTGTATATAGCTTCACTGAGCATGTTTCGTTCAGCTATCAAGAAGCAGAATCTGACAAGGATCAAATTGAAAGGAAAAACAAGACTGGTGCATTAACCAAAGAGCTTCAAGTCCTCATGGAAAGTATCTGATTCAGAGCTTTCCAAAAAAGTTCTGGGTAGGCAGATTGGAGAAAGTTGTCATACAACTACATATCGAGTCTACCATATGAATTTGGGGTGTGCAATGTGACCTGTGCCTGAGCAGAGAAAGAAGTGATGCAAACAGCTGTTTGAAACAAATCTCCAGTAAAAATTATGAGCAATTCTTTATGAGAGTGGTTTCCTGGAGTGCACTTTTTGGTCCTATTTTGTTTTCAGGATCACTGCATACCACCATTCTTTACACCTTCTCACTAGTAACGTTTCCAGACACTGACCCAACTCCTACAAAGAGGAGGATGCTCCAGAGGAAGCGTACCCATCACAGCACTTGTTTCATATCAAATAAAGCCGACAGCAGCCCGTTTGAAGCTTTCACTTAAAAGAAACAAGACTATTCCCTTGGTTCTTCCAGACCAAGCTTTCCTACGGACTCATAAAACCATTAAGCTTTTTAGTTCTGCACTTTTGGTTATGAACTGATTGTTAATATTCTGCCTTCCATTCAAGCAAACATTTTTGGCCCACACAACATTTCTCATATCCTGTCATCCACTTTAATCGTGACAATGATGTTGTATTTCTGCTTTCTTCTGCCTGGAAGTAGATGTCATGCAGAAAAGACACCACTGTGTCATTCTACCCTCCACCATATGCCCTAATAGAGAAGAAAACGTGACCATCGTGCTCACATTTGTTCAGCACCTGGAACAAAGACACCTTCACTGACCCATCTCTACCCTCAGTTCTCTTTGCTCCACCGTGCAGGAGCCTGGCCTTCAGTGGCCCTTCTCGAGCTAGCACCTCCTCATTCAGCACAGACAGACCGACCCCCTACTTGCAACCAGCCACAATGTTATCTCAGAAATCAGTATGTTCCTTAATGCCCCCTTGAATGCTATCCCATGTACTCAGGAGGGCTACACACATCTTACTGTTCTCCCAACTTCTGGCTGTGTTCTGCAGTCATTGCAGCAGAAGACTAAACCGAAACCTTTCATCTACCTTTATTCTTTTTTCCTCCATCTTTTTTCTCCTTGCTCTCAGCCTGGGTACTCTGGACTATGCAGTACTTGAAACTATAAGTTAAATAAAGCCTTCGTTTAGCACACATGTAACGTTAGCACAATCCTGACCCACTGCTAGATGTACAAGTGCATCCTACTAAACCTGATCTGTACTGCACTACCACACAGCATGTCTCCTGCCTGCTCTCCCGTATTTTCATTTTGTAATAAGCAGCATGTATTTTCATCAAATATTTCTACTTAAGTCAGTAGAAATCTATATCCTTATGTTCATATACAGATAATTTTTTGTGAAGTATTTGTACCATCAAATTCAGTATTTCAGCATTTGTTTTGCTTTAAAGTTTCCTTGCATTAGAGTTACTCACGTTGTCTTCAAAACCCAGTTTCTAATGATTTCATCTCCTCCCTAAACAATTAACCTGTTTTCCTCTTGAATCTCCACACCAGTCTTTTGCACTCACTTCAATCTTCTCCACATAGGAGTAATTTCAACTTGGTCATCACATATTCACATGCAGCACTTCACATCTCTTTGCTAAAGCACGCAGTGTCTGTCCTTTGAATTAACATTTAACAACTGAGAAGAACCACTATGAAATCTGTAATGCCATCTACTAGCAAGCAGCACAGTAAATGCCACAAAAAAAGACAGAAAAGAACTTGAGTAGTACCCATCCTACTCTACATTCAGGAAAAAGAGCTCATCAATTCACACAGAGAAAGGGAGGAGGCAAGCAGTAAAAATAATGTTAAGCTCTAACACTAGTGCAAAAAACTTCCCCAGCTGAGTGAACAACTTCATGGAAGGCTAAAGAAACAAAAGGCATCTCCAAGTCAGGCAGCTTCTGAGTCTTGGTAAAAGTAATTGCACATGAACAATTAAGGGAGACTCTACTTGAAAGCACCACCCAAATTGGTGGCCAGTGACCTCTTCTTAAGAGCTGACAGAGCAGAAACCAAAAAGGGAGAGAAGCTCACGTGCCTGCTTTAGCTGTGCAACAAGTCTTAATACAAGAAAGCGTCAAGCATCTGACACTCAGCTCCCACTAATGCTCCTTCCTTTGTTGTTTCACGTTTAAATAAACCCAAGCAGGTTTATTCCAGGAGCAGCACAGACAGCAGAAACCCACTTCTTATTTGACCCAATGAAGGTCCCAGAAATGTAATTCCAGAGCTCCAAATGATACAACAGCTTGCTTCCACATTTTTCAAAAACATGGCTTGAATGCTAGAACTTGATTTTTTTCTCAAGTACGTCAGAACCTCCACAGGCTGCACAAGCCACTCTTCTAACTACTAACACAGTAACTTCAGTTCAGGCACCTACCAAATTCAGAACCCCTTAGCAATTCCATGCAATGCAAAAGCTACTTCTCACACTGTATGATCTGCTCAATGCACTGTGCTCACAACAAAGACATTTTTTCCTCCTGGAAATAATAAATGCTGATCAAGTTCTTCCTATGAGGTTCACAAGACTACTCCAGTTGCAACTCATTTGTTATGAGTCGATTGGGCCACAGGATAACCACCCCACTCCTGAAACAGAGAAGGCCTGTGGATCTTTTAAAGCTGGATACAGCATACAGGAACTTACAGAACAGAATGCTCTTGAGCTGCCTGGAAGAAATCACTAAGTTTTACAGTAATGGGTCTTTTGTTCTTACAGAATGACCTGCCTGGCTTTTATTTCTAGAATACTATATCAGACTTCATGGAAGTGCTATGAAAAGCTAATTAAATACATCAAAAAGTCAACCTGGTGCTGTAGTATCCAAGAACAACTGAGCAACTGGCTGCTTGAACTGAAGACAAGCAAGTTAGCTTTTTGCCATGACCTTTAATTTGGAAGTGGTGTATCTGCCCATCAGTGGATTTGTCATTGTTGGGATAGTCCCAGAACAAGAGACTACTTTAAAACTCCTTCAACATCCTTGAACACAGTCCTCCACCATAAAATTAAAGAGAATTTGTGAGTAAAGTAACTTCCACACACACACACACACACACACACACACACACAAATAATCAGAAAAGGCACTACTTGAATTGGTAAGAGGTGCTGCTCAGCAAGCACATCTTTGCTGTTAGCACAAAAATATGATGAGTACCAGTTAGCATCTTTCAGTCTTAAAGCAGGAAAACAGAATAGGAAGAACTCATAAACAACACTTTGTTGTTCTTAAAACTGGTTTCTCTGCAGCCAGGAGAAAGACTGTGGAAGGTAACTTGCACAATACTGCCATGCATGGCATGAGGCATTGGAACAGCTTGCCCAGAGAAGCTGTGGATGCCCCCTCCCTGCAGCTGCTAAAGGCCATGTTAGATGGCTGGCAACCCTGCCCACAGCAGGGAGTTAGAACTAGATGATCTTTACGGGCCGCTCCAACCCAAGCCATTCTATGATTGTCATCCTACAGGTAGTTGTTTTGAGGCAGTGGAAAGAGTTGACATCTAAACTGAAAACATACTTTGAATTTGGTTTAGGAACGGAAACCCAGTTTCCTACCAACCTTTTTGTTCTTAAATACTCACTTGAGTCACACAGGGCAAAGGCTGCTATTGCAGAAAGCAAGCCACATACTTCGGACAACATTTGTATAGAAGGAAAAGCCTTATCATTGTCCTCTGTCCTGTAACATTCAAAAACCAGTCTCTGAATCTGGAGACAGACCTAGCAAGCCATGTGCTGCTGCAGCATGTAATAATGAACAGGCTCAGACTCACTAAGCACTGCCAATCTAACATGCCTTCAGCCACTTAGAGACATACATACATCAGTTCAAGTCCAACTGAACATCAGGATCTGTGCCAGGAATGTCAGGGTTGTGGTCAACAGCTCTTTGTCCAGGTGTCGGGGCACAAGTCCTTCAGCAATCCATCTTGGGACTGGCACTCTTTAACTTCCTTATCACTGACAGACGATGGGATTGAGTGCATCCTCAGCAAGTTTGCTGATGACACCAAGCTGAGCAGTGCAGTTGACACAACAGAAGGAAGGGATGCCACAGACTTGAGAAGTGGGCCCATGTGAACCTAATAATGTTCAACAAGGCCAAGTGCAAGGTGTTGTACTTGGGTTGGGGCAGTGCATACAGACTGGGAAAAGAACTCACTGAGAAGAGTCCTACAGAGAAGGACTTGAGGGTCCTGGCCAATGAAAAGTTGGATATGAACAGCAGTGTGAACCTGAACTTGAGAACCAGAAGGCCAACAGCGTCCTGGGCTGCATCAACGGAGGGTGGCAGCAAGGTGAGGGAGGGGGACTGCCCCCCTCTGCTCCATCCTTGTGAGGACCCACCTGCAGTACTGCATCCAAGCCTGAGGCCCTGAGTAAAGGAAAGATGTAGAGTTGTGGGAGCAGGACCAGAGGAGGGCCACAAAGTTGCTCAGAGGGCTGGAGAACCACTCCTAAGAAGACAGGCTGAGGGAGCTGAACTTATTCATCCCAGAGGAGGCTTTGGAGAGACCTCACTGCATTCTTCAAGTACTTGAAAAGAGCTTATAAGCAGGAGGGAAACTGATTTGTTACA